AAGCCAAGAGCTACGGCGGCAGTCATTTTCTCCCAGCCTCTCAAAGTGACACTGAATAAGTGCATAAGTTTAGAGCTCGGGTTTAAAATCACCCTTGAGGTGTGGAGACCGGTACAAATTTGGATACACCGAACATGCAACAAACATCATCACATTATTACATGTAGTCTGTTCCAGAAGCATTACAGCTCAATCACCTCAGGAACCTTTCTTTTTACCCTGTCCTACTTGCATCTCCACATTTCTATTTATCTCTTTGCTGAACAAACAGTCTTGCCCCTTACTTGGACCTGACAAACTGTTTGCTAACAGATATTTAGTGACCTTTTTCTGTTCATGCTGGCCCTACCTGGTCCCACCAGCCAATCAGCCAGGGTTTGGAGCAGGTGTCACAGAATAGATCCATGAAGGGGGTCCTACGCTCAGTGGCCTGACCACCCCCATCCAGCACCCCATCTGCAGCTGCCCCAAGCTCCAGTTCTGACCCTCCTCTCCCCTGCAGGGGACTGTAGCTGGAGGAGTGGGCCAGCCGGTAGCCTCCGGGCACAGGTGAGGGGCAGGAAGAGGGCGACGGGTCAATGGCCTCCAGTACGCCCATGCTGAGGGTGACGGATGGCGTGGACCGCTGGCAAAGGCAAGAGGCACGGAAGTGCACGGGGGCCGAAGCGCGGCGGGTGCCCCAACGGCATGTGGGCGTGGTCAGGGTGTGGGCAGAGAGGCCGCAGCCTAGCAGGCCAGGATGCTCCAGAGTGACGGCTGCCCCCAAGAGGCGGGGAGCAAGCGGCAGTGAAAGTCCAGCGATGAGCGTTCGCTAACACTGTCTCTCTACATGCAGCAAGCGGTACGAGAATCAGGCCCTCCAGAAAACCACCAAGCAGGCTCCACGGCGATCTGCAGGCGAGTGTCCCCTGTGAACGGCCCACCAGGAGCCGCCCAGATCCACAGGCCAAAGGGACTACATCTCATCCCAGCAGCTGAGCAGAGCTGACCCAGATCTAGCCGGAGGGGGAGAAAGCGGCGAGGGGTGGAATGGACAAAGATGGAGAGTCAAAGAGACGGGACCGTCTGAAGGACACAGAGAGGATGCCGTGGGAAGGGGGACAGAGGAATTACGGGAGATAGGGAGAAAGATGAAGATGAG